GTACTTACTTAAGCATCGGAGAGCCTTCGGCCGGTATCACACCGGTACCTAGGATTTACCGAGCGTTTGCTATCTTACAGGTATAACTACTACCGAAGTCATAGCATACCGAAGGTAACAAAATCACTAAGTTACGCGGGAAAAGTACAGAACCATTTTTCTGCGTCAACATTTTTCATGTTATTTACCATAAAGGCCCAAGTGATTCGGCAACTTTAGCACATCTCAATCATCTTGTAGGTCTCTCGCCACCTGTTTAAATGGACCAAAGAAACAGCATATGCGGATTATTATGAATGAGCTCTGACAAATGGTGTGCTAAGCATCCAAAGAGGGACAGAGCCTGGAGTCATGATTTACATGCTCCCACTTGGTCGTGGAGATTCCAAGGCCAGAAGCTACCATGGTTGGGGAAAACCATTTGAGTCGTTCTGGTGCTGCTATGGCACTGGTACGAGATTGCTTGGGACTGCTTGTCCTTTTTAACTTTCTTTTCAGGGAATTTCAGCCTTTTTTTTTAAACTTTCATGATCTATATATCGTAATGATGTGCTTTCTCACTTTCAATTTGATATGATTCAAGCAAAATCATTTAGACTGTGATTCCTCTTGTTTCTGTTATAGGTACTGCGTAATAACCATCAGTTATGTGTCTCTTCTTAATGCTTTTGTAGGAATTGAATCATTCTCAAAGTTAGCAGATTCCATATATTTTGAAGAGGGAGGAGAAGTTCCTGGTCTTTACATTATCCAGTATATATCAAGCTTGCTTGATTGGAAATCTGGACAAATTGTGCTTAATCAGACAGTTGATCAAGTCAATTCATGGGATCCTTACCTTAGGGTCACATTGACATTTTCTTCAAAGGAGGTATACATACATTGACATTGGCATTAACATTATCATATGACTCACTTATTTCAGTGTTGACAATTCATCTTTTCTGCATCTGCTTCCTTAGTCTTTCAGTTTCAACTGTGTTTCTACCTTGTTTTCTGTAATATGTAGGACACTTCTTATAATAATGTTGTCTGAAACACTTGCAAGGACGCCACCGTACACACATCCTCCTTTGTTTGACACTCATTTAGAAACCTGTAAAAGAGTTCACCCTTGTCTACTTATTAGTTGTGTATTATTTTTGGCCTGCATGTGACCTGTGCATTTTGGTATAGACATACACGTGCATGTTTTCAGTATATAGATTCACCAAAACAAACGCATATAGTGTCTTTTGTCTCTAGACATGAGAGTTGTCTTGTGTCCTTTCTGTGCCTAACATAGATCTTTATAATGGATTTAAATGATGCAGGGGACAGGCAAATCATCTACCTTGAACTTGCGAATGCCTATTTGGACTGCTTCAAATGGTGCAAAAGCAGCATTGAATGGTCAAAGTCTGAGTGTACCAGCTCCAGGTGTGAGATAACTCGCAGTTTCCTCTCTATTTCTGCAGTTGCATTTCTGATCCTCTTTGCCGTGTTTTTTAGGCGCAAACTATAGGCTTAACTGATATTATTTTCCTATTTCTGATGCAGGTAGTTTCCTATCTGTCACAAGCAAATGGAGTTCTGGTGACACTTTGACCCTTCAGCTACCCATTAGTCTAAGAACAGAGGCTATTCAAGGTACTTTTGTTAAAAATCCATTTCAACAAGTATATACATCTGCCACTCCCTAGGATACATGGCTTTATCAATAAGCAAAAGATTTGTTTTGTGAATGATATATAACTGACATTTGAACAAAATTCAGATGATCGGCCTGAGTATGCTTCAATTCAAGGAATTCTTTATGGTCCATATCTGCTTGCGGCTTATACCAGCGGTAACTGGGGCATTAAAACTGGCTCAGCTAAAACCGTCGCCGACTGGATAACTCCAATCCCTTCTTCATACAATAATTTTTTGGTTTCCTTCTCCCAAGAATATGGAAACTCAAAATTTGTCATAGCTGTCGTAAACCAATCGATTTCATTGGACGTCTTTCCTGAAACTGGCACTGACGCTTCTGCTCATGCCACTTTCAGACTCATTTTAAACGACTTGTCCACAAAGCTCTCTACAGTGAATGATGCATTTGGCAAATCAGTCATTCTAGAACTGTTTAATCTTCCAGGAAAGGTTTTAGTGCAGCAAGGGAAAGACAAGAATCTTGGGATAGCAGATATGTCCAGTAGTAAGGACTCTTCAGTTTTCCAATTGGTTCCAGGTTTGGATGGAAAGAACACCACAGTATCCTTCGAGTCAGAAAGCTTCAAAGGTTGCTTTGTGCATAGTGAAAACATTGTGGCCAGTGCAGGCATGAAGCTCGTCTGCAGTCCAGAGTTGTCGGATGCTGGATTCAACCAGGCAGCCAGCTTTGTAAAAAGTAATGGAATAAGCCAGCATCATCCTATCAGCTTTGTGGCTAAAGGAGCAACAAGGAGCTTTCTTTTAGCACCATTGTCAAGCTTCAATGATGAATCTTACACTATTATCTCAACATTACAGCCTGATAAGTAGGAACAGGATTGTGGAAACCGGAACGAATCTATTCGATATAAAACTATTTATGAAAGTTTTTTATTTTTCTCACAGTGGCAGCCGTTCTTCAAATTCCTTAATTGCTTTTGCAGATAGGAATCTTATTTAGAAATCCCAGAGTAGTGTTCATCTTGTCTATTCATCTTCTACTTGATTTCTGAGGTTCCTGTTGTTATTAGTATCCATGCTAATATGCTACAAAGAAAGAATTGCTGTAGCTACATCGAAGATGATTTAACTGCAGTTTGCTTCTGCATGAGGATATTCAGAATTTGAAATATGAAAAGATTATAGCATTGCTGGGAAGTTTGTAGTGCCTTTTGGGTTTATGGGATATATATAGACTTGTTCGATGTCTTCAACCATGGGGATTATAGTTTGGTTGTGCAATTTGCTTCAAGCTCTATTTGCTCATAAACTCTTGGCATTTAAGTTGCTTGTACAACTCTACCAAAAGTATTTCGTAGCTGAAATTGGCTGTGGTTTAGAAGAGCGGGACCTAGCTAACAAATATTAATATTATTGAGGATTATATAAATAAACATTGAAAATGGTCTTGAGTTGCACATTAGTGGTTCGAATTCTCCCTCCTCTTTATAATTTAGATTATCACTTGTATTCAAAAGAAAAAAGAAAACATTGCCAAATAATTCACAAATGTTGACTCTAATATTCAGGGACGGATCTAGAATTTATAATTTGGGGGGTGAACTTCATGCTCTAATGGAAAAAATATATTTTAATGTTCAAGGCACATAACAAGGCATAGATTTTAAAACACCAAGAATTGTAAACGGAGCAAAAGATAGTTTAATAACCACAAAAAAACAAGAAAAGAGGACAAAATTCAAGAGTTCCATCCCTGCTAATATTTAGTTTTCACTTTCTTAAAGGATGTTTGAGTTCCAATCTCATGAAAAAGAGAGTTGTGTTGGATTAAAACAAAAATTTACTCTAATAATCTAAATTATGTAGCGAAACATATTTATCAGTTATAAATCGCCACTTATTTTATAACACGTAAATTAGTAACACCAACTGGATTAGAGTAGGGGTGGTTGCGGTTCGGTAACCGCGAATTTTTACTAACCGCAAACCGACCGACTATTTGCGGTTTGGTGATTTTTGAAACCGCAAACCGACCGCGTTTTGTGGTTTAAAACCGCAAGTTCTCAACCATTCACAAAAATATAAATTCACAACCTAAATAAATAAATACACAACCTCAATTTCTCAAGCATATATAAATTCACAATCTCCTCAACTTCTCAAACATTCACAACCTAAGAAAATTAAAGTTACAATTCCAAGCATTCTAATTAAAGTTAAACTTCTCAAGCATTTCAATTCCAAATCCTTTAAAGTTACAAACCAAAAGGAAAATGCAAAACAAAATGAATTAAAGTTACAACCAAAAAGAAAAATTCAATTCAAAGTTAATTAAAGTTACAAACTAAAAGGAAAATGCAATGCACCAATGTTACAAACTCAAGTGTTGGTGGTGAGTGGATTTGAAGAACCTCGTTGTGTTGTTTGAGCATCAATGTTATCTACAAATAAAACAACATAGTTTAGTACATTTTATTATAAGAAGAAGCATAAATAACATTAGCATAAATAAACTAATTACTTACAAGTTGTCATATGTTCCATTTCTTTGTAGAATTCAACTTCATCATCCGTGCGGCTATACTTTGCGGTTTGCAATAACCGCAAGTTTTGAAAATCAAATACCGTAACCGCAACCGCAAATGCGGTTCGGTTTATCGCGATTGCGGTTTCATTACGGTAAATTGTCGGTTGATTTTTGTGGTTTTTCGGTTTAAAATGCCACCCCTAGATTAGAGTACTTGATGATAATTGACACATAAAATAAATAAATTAAAATTTTTTTTTTTTTTTAAAAAAAAAAAAGTAGCTAGGGATGTGGCCCAATACAGTAAACAGAACAAAAGGCCCAACAGACCCCTATAGCTATAGAGAGTCCAATAAGATTAGTGCCTTTTACTTTTAAACCGCGACCCAACTAGTATATATGGTGTTTCACCTAGGGTTTCAAATTTTTCGTCATCGTTTAGGGTATTAGGTTTCTGTATATCGGCGCAGAGCTTCAGAGCCATCAGCAATGGCGGACAAGTCGGGCCGAGGTAGAAAAGAAGAGGTCGTCACCAGAGAGTACACCATCAACCTGCACAAGCGCCTCCATGGATGGTATATATTTGTCTGTTTCTTCATTATTTCTAGCCCTGATGTTAATCTGTATGTGAGTCATTTCTCCGTAGAAATCTGTGAGTATTGTATGTCTGGTTGAAGATTGCGCCTCATTTTAGCTACTATTGTTTTGTTACATAGGCTTAGTTAAATCTTGATTGGAATTAAGGTTGAACTTAAATTTCAATTAGATGCTTGGATTTGATTGAATTTGAATTTGATTTAAAAATGGGTGCTTTAAAAGTTGTAGGTCGAGTTAGAGTTAAAGAGGAAAAGAAAGTTTGTTTCAAAGCAAGCTCAGAGCCCAATTGTTCCCTTATAACATGCATCTTTTAGCTTAACCTTTTAGCAACTTTGCTTGTATCCACTAGTTCAACGGAGGTTCCATTGTTTATCTAGGAAAATAGGAAATGTAGTTGCATAAAGAAATTAATGGTTGAATTGTTTTTATTCAAGACAATTACATGCCTTGTGAATATTTGAAATAAATTATTATGTGAATTTGCATTTGAAATCAGATTTCAATGTATTGTCCTATGACCTATCCTAAGCTATTATTACCTTGTAGTCAACACCACCATTGACAGTATTCGAGGTTTAACCTAATCATCTCCTAGGCCTCTGGTGTTAGGCCTTCGATTTGATGCTATCCCTGCTTCACAATCAAATGCTATGCACAGCGATTAAATTCGAGAGCTAGTTTGTTTAGTTGTACAAGATAATCAGATTTCATATGGGTACAAGTGAAAAAAGTTGCCTTAAAAATAGCCGTCACTAAAATCTTCTTGTCGGTTCTCTCTGTTTTTCCTTTGTATTGGTGCCATCATGAATTAATTACCCATGTTAATGGTATATCACAGCTTTTATGCGCTTTGGTTATCCTTAAAAGAACATGGCTCTTCGGATCGAATAAATAGTGGTCTAAGTTAAACAGCTTTGTATATTTCTTCCATCGTTTCTTGCCCTTCTCTCTGGCATACTGCCATGTTTTTTTTTTTTTTTTTTTTTTAGTGTATTTGCATACTGCAACTTCTGCGCAGGCCTTGTCCTTTTGATAGAAAAATCATAATGCTGTGGTTATTTGTTCTTTTGTAGCACATTCAAGAAGAAGGCACCAAATGCCATAAAGGAGATTCGGAAGTTTGCCCAGAAGGCTATGGGAACGACAGACGTCAGGGTCGATGTGAAGCTGAACAAGTTGATTTGGAGCCGTGGTATCCGAAGTGTGCCAAGGAGGGTTCGTGTACGCATTGCTCGTAGAAGAAATGATGAGGAAGATGCCAAGGAGGAGCTCTATTCTCTAGTAACGGTCACCGAGATTCCACCAGAGGGTCTCAGGGGATTAGGCACCAAGGTCGTTGATGCAGATGATTGAACCATTGGTAACTCGGCAATTGGTTTTGTTCCATATCTATTTTTAGTACAAAATGTGGTAACTTTTGTTTAATGTTGAGAGAATCAAACACTTGAGAGCAGTAAAACAGTTTATGTAACTTGGATTGCGATCCAGTCTATCTTTAGTTCATAACTTTCTTGTGTCTTAAGAATTTTTTGTTTCATTTTTATTGTGAGAAATTTTTTGGTGTGAGGTGGCCATTACTATTTTCTGTAGGCAGCACGAGAGCAATATCTTGGCATGTGGCTAGCTTTTTACTGCAGACGTGCACAATTACTGTTTCACCGTTTGGGGCCCTTCTTCTTCAATGCTATTTGTACTGATGGGACTCCGACTCGGAGAGTCATTATCTCACTAAAGCTTCACGTGTGATGTCTTTTAATTGGCCATTCTTGATCCGAAATCAATTTATTTTGTCAAACGGTCTTATTTTACGTCAATAGCTGTCGAAATGGCCAAATAGGTTGTGATTTGGTACTGGAATTGGCGTGCCAGCTGAATCTTGTGGATATATGAGTTGTAGACACCTTAAGCTAAATCGAATTTCAAAACCTATTTAGACCAAAGCTAATCCTTAAACGAAAATATTGAAAGAAAAAAAAAATTTAATTAGTTTGACAACCCAATTACGATAGCTTCATCCATGTTGCATGTACTTTCCTTAAAAAAGAAAAGAGTATTGATCTAATCTTTCAGAGGATGTTCGAAGGGATTCGAACACATGACTTTAAAATTCAGTTGAGCTACAAATTGTGTGTACTTTCTTTAGATGTTAAGATAACTGTTTTTAACCACTTGAGCTACAAATTTCTTGTTATTAACTCTTATTTTTATCGATGGCAAATTGGAACAAAACTTAAAATTCAGGTATTTTAGATCTTGTATCCTAAGATGGAGGAGAATGAAAAAGTGGTCTACAATTATTGAATGGTCACATCAATAAGGACATATTTTGCATGTAATGAGTCGACAGAGTTTACCACTTTTCCTCTTTAATCCTATAATCACAGGTCAAAGATCATATGTGGGATGGGCCCCACCCAAATTTTCCATTGGATTCATGCAAAAATACGTGCATGAAAACAAAAACAAGAAACTCTTCGATTGTCATCATAATAATAACAACATTTAAGATTGATTCAATATAATGAACGTAATTAAGCGGTAAACACACAATTAATTAACTCTCTCTCTCTCTCTCTCTCTCTCTCAATAATACAAACACCTTCACAATCTAATCTTAAGCATTTTCATTAGCAGGCTTTTAGTGGCTTCCCGCAAAGACAATCGTTGTAAGTAAACGACGACGCTTCGAGGTGATCGAACGGAGACCCGGCCGGAATTCTCCCACACAAGTGGTTATGGCTCAAATCCAAATGCCCGATATACGAAGCCGAAATTATAGATTTCGGGATATTGCCCCTCAAATTGTTGAACGATAAATCGATCGCGGTGAAGTAAGATCTCGGCCCAAACACATCCGGTATAATACCATCGAGAAAGTTCTTGCTCAAATTCAAGTTGCTAATGCCCGAGACAAGCAAACTCGGCGGTATGCGACCCGATATTTTGTTGGAATCAAGATTTAGCGTCGC